CTCACGAAAAGGTGCCAGCGACCTGCCAACGAGACCTGCCGCCAGGTCGGGGGGATTACTACCGGCCCAGGTCACTTGATACAACATCACATCATCATCTCGACTCATACAGTTGAAAGCCCCGTACTGGTTTACACATTCTTTCTCAAAGCGCTAGTGATACAAAATGTAATCGCTTAGATGGTGCGTTATTATTGGCGGCCAAATTGTAGTCTAGTAGATTATCCACTGATTTTAATGTGCTCCGGCGCCGAGATTTTGCTGCCAAATTTGCGCGTGAAAAATCAATCACTTCAGGAGTCGACAGTTTGCGCACGCAAGTGGCCGGCATCATAGGTGTAGCTACTCGTCGGCGCGCAAGTGTGGCCGCAACATCTCGGCACCAAAAGCGCGATATATTGGGCGAAAAAATCTTTTACGACGAACATAAAATGAAACTGTGATGATGGCACTGTCACTTGAGCATTCTCTTGGCTATCATCGCTACTCGAATGGTTTTTTGCATACATATAATAGCATCAAGAAAGCAGAGTGACTGAACTGGGCACTAAAGCAATGCCTTTTGTTGAGCGTTTTAAGCTCCTGTGAAAGCAGAGACCGCAGTTAATCTCGTCATCACGATTTGATAGATACCCTCTACCTACACAGATTTTCCTTTGCCCCTTTTATGGAGAAGTCACACGTATTTCACGCAGGGAAATTGGTATGTATTGCATGTGAATATGTGCCAGTAACATGTGCGAACTTAAAGAACAGCGCCGCAAGGAGAGTGATTCCCTAATTTCCGGGATAGAAAGCGTGAGTTATAAGCGTACCCGCCGCAGTGAACAATGCAATGACGCGAAAGCGCTTTCTGAACGAGTCTGTAACATACGCAAACTCAATGCATTGTGACTGTGTTTCATATGACTCATGTCTTCAGGTACTTCTTATGATTTTGTGCTTTTTTATCTTCAGTGATGCTACTGATTTTGCTGTGCTTCCTATTGGTTCTAAGGGCAGCTCCGGTGTTTCGACCAGTATTTCATCTATTTTGCAGATTTGATGAGTAAAAGAGAAAGCAGAGATGTCTGATTTACAGCAAATCACAACTGACAAGGAAGAGTTCCCAAGTCGCCCGGCCAACACGTATGAGTCATATATCACCATAACGGGCTTGAAACGCGTATTCCAAATCTGCTTTTGGTTTCTGCGGAACAACTCTACAAAAGAAGTTATTAGCGTTTGAAAGTCCAAATTTGTCAAGTCTAAGTGGCTAAAATTGGCGAGAGCCGCACAATATCACGTAAAAGTGGGTTTTCAGTTTTGTATCAAGTATACTGACTAAAGGACGAAAAACAGCTAGTGGAAGTCCGCTAGGTGCTGTTTTAAAGCTTTCCACTAATTTTATAAGCCACCTCAAACGTGGCAAATTCAAACTTTCGAACCCTCATAACTTCTTTCGTAGAGTCGTTCCGCAAAAAAATAAATCAGATTTGGAATCAGCATCTCAAGCTCGTTTCTGTTATGTATGACGCATCCGGGTTGGCCGAGCTGACTTGAGAACTCTTCCTTGTGAGAGGAAACCATAATGAACGAAAACAAAAATATGCTGTTGGGTGAAATAGGGGGGTTTGCTGCTTGTGCGGCGTCGCGCCTTCGCACGTTATGAACGTCATCGCACATTAGCTCATGCGGGCTGAAAGCTGCTGCGCCTTATATCCAGAAAAATAGGAGGTGGGGACGGAATTTAGGAACCCGAGCCTAATTAGCTCGATTTGGGGAGTGCCTGCAGGTTACAGTCATGCTCGCTGTCTCTGATTACTCACTAGGACATAGCAACAATCTAAGCCCCGCCCCCATGAGAGCCTGTTTGGAACCTAGCCAAGGAATGCTGAAAATCTCAATTGATCAGGGCTGGCTCTAAGCCAAAAACCTTCAAAGTGATCGTACGAAGGTGAAATTAGGTTCAAATGAAAGAGAAAAACCGTGCCATCATCATAAAGTATCTACTGAATTCAAACTATTGAACACAACATTTCTTGGTTCAAAACTTTATTTTAGTGTTAAATTACTGTGAAATTATTCAAAAAACCGTCAAGTTTTCAAAAAAATTTATTTGGGTGCTAAATCCTAGCAAGAGACTAGAATATCACTCGAGAAATGACAGTTCAAAAACATCCCAAGATTGATATTTATTTAAGTGCTGAAATTTAGGCGAAAGACTAGAAAATCAGTTGCGAAACGACAATCTATGAAATTCTGAAAAATAAAAGTTTGTTTGTGTGCGAAAGTCTGGGCAAAAAATTAGAATATCAAAAAATGACAAATCAAGAACTTCTTAGAAATAATAGTTTTTTTTGACTGCTGAATTGCTAATAAATGGTTTCCACCCTTTACGCTACTATTTATAAGGAAAATTTCGCCTCAAACTGTTATTGCAATCTTTAATTGCGTAGGTTGAGGTCATTGCTTCCAGCATCTTAGCAGGATGTTCTTCGCACATCAGAATCGTCTGTCGTTGACAGACTCAGCAATATCATTAGTGAATTTTTTGAACTGTCATTTCTTGATATTCTAATCTTTTGCCCAGACATTCGCACACAAACAAACTTTTATTTTTGAGAATTTTATAAACTGTCGTTTCGCAATTGATTCTAGTCTTTCGCCTAAATTTCAGCATTTGAATAAACATCAATCTTGGGAAGTATTTGAACTGTCATTAATGATTTCTAGTCTTTTGCTAGGATTTAGCACTCAAACAAATTTTTTCTTGAAAAACTTGACGGTTTTTTGAATAATTTCTCAGTAATTTAACACTTGAATAAAATTTGGAACCAAGAAAATGTTGTGTTCATTCAGTTTGAATCAGTAGATACTTTATGATGATGGCACGGTTTTTCTCTTTCGTTTGAGCCTAATTTCACCTTCGTACGATACTTTGAAGGTTTTTGGCTTAGAGCCAGCCCTGAAATTCAATTGAGATTTTCAGCATTCCTTGGCTAGGTTCCAAACAGGCTCTCATGGAGGCGGGGCTTAGATTGTTGCTATGTCCTGGTGAGTAATGGGAGACAGCGAGCATGACTATAACCTGCAGGCACTGCACTTCCCAAATCGAGCTAATTAGGCTCGGGTTCCTAAGTTCCCTCACCCAAAAATAGGTTATCTGTTTTGCGTTATGCTCATTGATTCTTAGGTATACGCCGTCCGCGCAGGGCGCGGAGAGTGCGCAAGTTGTGCATTGCGCGTCACTTCTCTTTCCCCGTGTACTCTCGCCGCTTGTTTTCTCTGCGCTTCTTCCAGTCATGAACTATCTTCAATGGGCACGCAGCAGCGTTGCTCTACGTGCGCAGCGCAGACGGTATAACTCCAGTGCCCTCCTCCCCCCATATTTGCAATGTCTATCAAAGTGATAACTCGCTTTTTTGGTTTGCTATCATCTTATAGTGATCCGCTGAATTGTCATGTGTGGAGTTGGGCTGCCACGAAAACGCAGTGAGGAATGACTTACGATGTTATAGAGCATGATAAATCGGATGGTGAAGAATGTTCATTCTTGCTTGAAATTACTTACTCGGAAACGATGCTTAGTGGCAGTGGCTTTTTGCAAGACTTACACCAGTGAATGCGCTCTGAAACGCTGATTCCAAGTCTATGTTCTTATCTGCTGTGTGACCCTCTGAACAAAGGAATTTCTTCCATATTAAATTCACAAGACCTAGGCAGTCATAATCGTCAGTATTCAGGCTTTTTAGACTCGAATCCAAGGAGACAGTCTTTCTAAGCTTAATTAATCTTTATTTCATCTGGACGCTTTTTTTCAGTTCGTAAGTGACCATTCCAACAATATTGGTGAATCCTGTAGTCAAAACAGTGCAAATTGTGGTGGCAAAAAATGTTTATAACTTCTTTTGGAAGAGAGCGCAGCAGAAACCGAAGGCACATTTGGAATCAGCGCTATAAGACGCGCTTGATAATGAAGAGCCCATAGTAAACCCCTGTTCAGCGCAACTCGGCTGGGGCGGGCCTACCTTGAACGTAGAACAACTCAGTCGGGCATCTAGTGAGCTATCGATCTGTACGGATCGCCTCTTATACATGATAGCCATGTGCGTTCCTGAGAATACAACTACCCGATCACATTTGATCAAACGGCTAAGTCACTGGGATTCCGAGATTGGGGTCAACGTTCGAGACCTGCCAGTTGTAGCATTTCTGCTATTGCTGTGCAGTCTTTGATAGCGGGCACTAGAAAAATCGATGATGGCCGCTATCAGAGATATCGCATAGCAAACGAAGATAAAAAACAAGTTCACAACATTTTGGCATGCATACCGGCAAAAAATCACAATTTTTCAAAAGTAGATAGAGAGATAAATTTCCATTCTTTGCGTTCAAAGCGGTTTTCTGAAAAAATCAAACAAGAAGTGCAACTCTATTGCATACTATCTCTCTCGGCTCACTCTAAAATTCAATCTCGGATAAGTGGCATTCTGTCAGACTGACTGTGACACTTGACCGGACAGTCTCCTGACTGTCCAATTGACTACCTTAAAGCACGGGAAGATGGGCGGAATTAGGTTCACCTAAGGAAGTTCTTCTGAACGACTCATTTCAGGTCAACTGAGATGAATGGGGGTTTACGAGCCAAGGTCTCATATCAACAGGCCACAATCACCAAGTATCCTTCCCTTGTTAGCTGTCATCCTTTTGGAGAAGAATTGAAAGGTCGAAATCCAGCACCGCTTTATAAGTTTACCTAACACTTGGTGGTCAGGGCAAGCCTCAAAACAAAAATGATCATTGGTGCTCACATATCCTTCCCAATTTTGACACCGCTTAGTGAAAAAGATATAAAATAACTTTCTCAATGGTCAGAAATCATTTAGACTCGAGAGTTTGAACTATCTATAAGGTTGGCGGCTTGCTTATAATTGTTATCTATTCGTGGGTAGTTGAGAGAAGTATAGCGGAGGACGGTATGCCACTGATACCGCTTTGCTCAATGTAAGATAGGAAAATTGTTAAAGCAAACTTTATATTCCATTTGCACATTGTTCAAGAGCCTCAAATGACAAAATCATCAAATGCAAAAGACTGTCACTTTAAAAAAGAGGGTGTGACTTTTTCTTGCATACGAAGTTCCTCATCTTGGTATCGCAGAACCAATCATTCCATTGCTCAGAATAGGGCTCGTCGCTGTAGAGCTAAAAACGAGATAAATAAGCGTTATTTCCGAGAATGAGTGAACTCAGAATAAAATAGACTGCGCAAAAGCGAAATGGAAAAAAGATAGTCCATGCCCGTGGAGGAGCAAATATTTTCTTTACATCTTTTTGCCTGTGCTAGTGAATAAAGCTCTATGTGAAAATGATACCTGTGCGCACTGTTCACGTCCTTCAAAGTTATTCGGCTCGCCAGGAGCAAATGGTGAATAGTCAAGTTTTGTGCCATCAGTCCACGTCCATTCCTTGCTACTTGGATAACTTGCTTGATGCAGGCCTATCCAGGTCGCCTTTGTGTAGTAAGATCGTCTGACACCTGCTTTTGACAGATCTAAATCACATTACAATAAATCATATGGAAAGAACTTCGCGCATGAAATGAACGAGATTACGAGATACAAATGAATTTTCTTCGGGGGTATGAATAGAAGTCAAATGTCCTCCGAGCAAAACACAGAAGCTCTCAGCAGCGGTCCAGTTTTGGTGGAAGAAGGTCTGAAAAGATATTGTATGATCAAAGAGCCAAAAGGCTGCGAAATAATTTCCCCCATACAAGCAACTTCGTAGTTGGATTAGTTGAAACATAGAACACCCAAATTTTGAAACTTTTAGCCAGTCTTTGCTCAACCTTCAATGTTAGCTTTGCTTTCCACCTTCATAAAAAAAGGAGCAGAGAGAGTATACAAGTCCAGATTGACACTAGCAGCATACACGAGTGAATCCGAGGTTGGATCGAGCTGCGGTAGTCTCTTAAGATTGCTACACATAGTACGATACTCAGCATCCATGTAGTACAACAAACAGCAGTCCTCATTTCTCTTTTGAATGTGTTTTTGTTTATATGGTGGAAAAGTACCAGGAAATTGAATGTACAAAGTAGAAAAGGACCTCATTTTTGAGGCCGCCTAGCAAGTACATAAAGAGAAGTGACTGTACAGGTACGCCGAAGGGTTACTTGCTGGAGTACCTGTACAGCTACTCTCTTCGTGTAATCAGGGTTGTACAACACAAGTAGTGTTCTTTTGAAAACAGCGTCCGGGCAAAGTCCCAATCTCTATTTTTTGCATTATCCAGGTTTCTTTATGGCGCTGTTACCAAAATACATCCAAGAAGGGTGGATTCTTCAAACACTCCTTTCTTAGAACTAGTGAGGGTATATGTTAAGAATACGATAGCTGGCAATAGTGGCACCATGAGTGCCCGGGTGTCAATAAGAGGTGTCTCGGTAGCACCGCCCCAGCCAGCAGACGAGCTTACGCAGACAGTACAGCTTGTAGTACTATATGCCCAACTGTTATTTTTCTTTGTACTTGCTTTGAGTTGTAGTTTCTGATAATTTTTTCGAATGGAAGTAATCAACAATGTCAGCACTGTAAACATGCATTAGTAAACATTTAAGGTCAATTCAGCATGTGAAATGTGCAAGTCACCATGACTAAAGTAGGAAGTGAAATTCAATAAAAATAAATAAATTTCCTTTCTTTCTACTCTGCTTTCTGAAAGGGTGAGGGCGGGCTCGCGAACAGCTGGCAGCTAGCGGCTGGCAGAGCTATCGTTATTCTTGACCGCCACCCCTCACAGAGTGAGAGCTGTGGACGAGTGCCCTAGGCACTAATTTCTTATTCGCAAGAAGCGATGACAGATCACACAGCATGCTTTCAGTTGTGCTCGCCATATGAAAACGGTCAGGGTGTAGGGAGATTTCCATTCGAGAAGGTTGGCCTTGGAGGAGCTGAGCGGGGTTGAAGCAGCAGTGGTAAATGCGCTAAATTCCCCTTTTAAAGAGGGTGTTTGCAGGAAGGCTTGAGCGATAACTAGACGAGGGTCTTGTACTCGATTATGATAGTAGCCGAAAATGTTCAAACCTACCCGGACGCTGCCTCCGATCTTCGTAATTTTAACCAGTTCGTGCCGTCGACGACTCGATGGCGGGGGCCACATTGTTTTTATAATAGTTGCGTTCAAGATGCTTGAGCAAGATATCGCTTTGAAAGAATTTGCCACATACCTTATAGCAAGAATTAGTGTTCTCAAAGTAAGTCCATCCACTTTCACAATACCCATTTTGGTTCTCGGCCCTCACTGAAAATCAAATTGAAGATTGAATGGAAAGTTTACATGTCTACGTAGAAAATTCAACATCAATCCTGGCTTCGGATGAAGAAAATAGTGTAGGTACAACGAGGACAACTTCTAGAAAAAAAATATAGTTGAAGCGCTGGCTGGTTTACAGTCACGTTGTAAACAAAGTTTCCAGATTTGCACTTAGTCCACCTAAAAAATCTTATATATAAAGCTGAATGTCTGTTTGTCTGTCTGTCTGTATGTCTGTATGTCTGTCTTTACGTATGTTTCGAATAGAAAATTCCATTTCTGAACCGATCCAGACCAAAATTGGCACACATACACTTCGGGCCCCGGCGGGTGTCATAGGCTACTTTTCGTCATCGATCGATATCGATTTCATCGGTTTTTTGCAAAATTTGAGCTACGGGGCTGGGAGTTGGCACAGGGGGGTACTCGAGCATGCTGATTACGAATATAATAATGACAGGGCCGGGCGGAGCCGGGTAACTCAACTAGTAGATTATAAAGTTGTAAACTTAAACGAAGTGATTTTCAAAGACATTTAGAGTGTTCTGACGATAGCGATAGTTAACTCTTGTGTTTTGCTTGAGTCCATCGCAGATCAAGCGAGCCAGCATTATGCACAAAAATCGCGATTTGGGATTTAGCCTCTGTATGAAGGAGAATCTCGGATGACAAAGCGTTAAGAGCTTTCATGATGACAAGCTGCAGCCAAGCCGCCATTAGCAAGAAGCATGTTGTTTAACGATCAATGATCATTTTCACATCATAATGTATGGTTATTAAAAGTTCCGCTCCTTCGAGACAGTTCCGATTTACCATAAAGGCAGCGTCCGGGCAGAGATGGGGGTTTTGAAATTTCAGTGCCATGCGAGTGGCCCCCCTCAGACACAACATCGCGCAAGTGCGACGTCATAACGCTCAACCTAAAGCAAGAAAAACGGCCGGAAAGTGGGGAAACTTACGCCCCTGGGGCGAGGTCCTCCGAGCTGATTGAATTCCTACCAAGCGGCAGAGTACGCATGCCGCCACAGTTGAAATGTGGGGTCCCGCAGCGACTATGCGTCCGGCGGGACCCCACATTGGTGGGGACCGTCAAATTTCAGATTGTAAGACTTTGGAAAACGCATGTTCTCATCGCCACCGCGCCTTCTAATGTGGATTTCGGATTCAGCGTTGCGGATACCCCCCCGGTAAGTGGATTTTCTTGAAATCGAGTTTTTGTCCGGGCACTGCCTTTAAGGGTGGCTTCATACCGCACCGGCAGCCGCCAGCAGCCCGAGCTGCCTTGGCCGCTTTTGTTATCATGGGAGCGCGAAATCATCAATTTTTTACTACGCTGGCATACGTCTATGCTTTTCTTTTTCCACGCTTTTTCCTTCCTATTATCGCCAAGATGCAGTTTGATCCCTTTCATCATACTTGTGTTCATTGTTGTTATTATTTTGTTGCCGTACATTGCATATTATCCCATTCGTTTTCCACTCTTGCAATCTTTCTAAGAATAATCGCCAAAAGTAATTTCCCAAATGAACGTTGCGTTCCTGACCAGCATGCTCATTCATCTCCTTTCCTTGTACCAAATCCCAACATTCAACTTAAAGTAAACAAAGCAATTGAAGACTCTTAAGTCCTGACGAGAAATAATTTATTCGTAATTAGCAAGTTCACTTACCATCTGTAAATCACACCTCCACAACTCAAAATTGCTTGAAAAGCAGTTTACGACGATTTCACCGCCTCAAAGTGTAAGGATGTCTCAATGAGAATGCACCCCTACGAGTATGGGGCCTTGGCAACTAGCGTATCATCTGGGTATTTTCTTATGCTTTGACACGATCAAAGGCAGCGTACAGATCTGGACCTACCGGGATCCCACTTTGAAAGTGATTTTGGGGCCGAATAAGACACTGGGTAGCGCAAATGATTTTTTGATATATTCGCCTCCAAACTGGACCCCATGTATTAACGAACAAGTTGCATCGTGCTCGCATGCTTTCGCCGAGAACCCTCGCAAAAATGACTGGTCTTCATATAAAACTACTAGCTTGCTTACCCGGCTCCGCTCGACCCCTTTCAAAACACTGTAATAAAGGTCCCATGCCATCCCTGTACAGCCTTTCCCCGTGCTCACTTCTACACTTCATTTCCCGTTCCCTGTGTTGTTTTCGAAATCAGCATGCCCACTTACCCCCCCCCCCCCTGTGCCAACTCCCGGTCCTGTAGCTCAAACTTTGCAAAAATCGATAAAATCGATAAAAGTAATCGATAATTCTGAAAACTAATGTTGTATTCGGAATCGCCACTCACTATTGCTCACTTATTCCCCTACGTCAACTCCCAGCCCCGAAGGTGAACTTTGCAAAAAGATTGATAAAAATCGATAAAATCGATATCGTTCGATAATGCAAAGTGCCCTATGACACGCTCCCTGCCCCGAAGTGTATGTGTGCCAAGTTTGGTCCAAATCGGTTCACAAATAAAAATTTCTATTCCGCACATACGTACAGACATACTTGCGTACAAACACACATTCAGCTTTATATATAAGATGCGAGCATGAGGCAAGTCGTCCGTAATGCGATACTGGGGTTTGATTTGGAGGTGAAGATCTCAGTAGCGATACAGTAGTACATCATTTGAGCTGAAGCTTGAGCAGGGCCTTAGTAAGGTCCCTAAATTGCTTTCTATGTGACATCCCCACATGTTCAATTTGCCTGGACTCCGCCTTTGATTCTTCCCTTCGCAGTCATTCTGCTGCGAGTGCACAAAAAGCAATATCTTACCACAAACGCAATATAGCATCTAGCAGAGGATTTACTTTGGTTGAAGCTAAGTTTGTGCAGTTTAATTTTGTCATACTTCCTTCTACAAGAGTGAGATCTACCCTTTTATAGAGGATACACGTTGGACAGTGGCGTACCGAGGGGGGGGGGGGGCGAGGGGGGCGCCCCCCCCCCCCGAGAACGGGTCGCGAAATTTTTGAAAGTTACTTACATGAGTTATAGAAATGTGCAAGTGACTTGTTTATCTTTGTAAACAATTAAAATAATTTTTTACATTTTTCAAAAATTCAAATTAGCCTTATAAAAAGTTTTTCCGGGGTTGTCTGACGCCACGCACCTTCATTTGAAGAAAATTCTTGCCGCCCCCCCCCCCTCCCCCGAGCCGAAATCCTGAGTACGCCACTGAAGTTGGATCAGTTCGATGTCGTATTGGTAGTTATGGATAAGGTGAAAAGTTGGCTTTCAACTTCACTTGAGTGCGTTATGCATAAAAAAGATTTAGAGAGAGAAGCCAGTCCAAACAGATCTCAAGTAAAAGTTTACATTCTTTCATAAATATCGAATCGTCTCGGTATGCTTTTTATCATTGAGCTAAGTCGCGCAGTTACAGTCTCTCCTTTCACTTGCCACATATACTACTACTCCTTTTACAGTTTTTTCCCCTCAGCATCAGTGTGTTTAGAGCAAGGCAAGAGAAAAAAATTTCGAGTGTGTTGACAGCTACATATTCCAGATGTGTGTAAACGATATGAGGCCTTAGGCATACCTCGCGATTCGGCCGAATCGCCACTTTCACTCGACTTGGCGTTTTTCCAGATTTCTATAAATTTATCGTGCGCGCTTCTCAGATGCATATTTGGGTAGCTTGTGTAAGTTGTTGCAAATGGAGCAAGTTCTGACCAAAGACAGAGTACTAACGACGAATTACGAAGAGCCGCTGTTGTGCCAAATCGCGCAGCGACCGGAATCGCGCGAGGTATGCCTTAGGCCTAAATCAACTCACCGCACGTTCGAAACCAGTAACATTCGGATGCGCCGTAGAGACCAAGTACTGGTTATCACGACTGATTGAAAGTTTTGGCATGAAAATAGTTGTGTGACTTCTTAAGTGAGACTTTGTTAGAAAAGTGCATTAGGCAAGATTTCGCTAATGTTGGATGGCGCGGATCACCGACCTACCGATCTCCATTGGCGGGAAGAAAAGCCCGCGCTGACCCCTTCAGCAGGCTGTAAATACCGGTGGATAGGAGGGAGCAGGCAGAGCGTCAAGAGAGCGCTCCAGGGAGTTTAAACGAGCCATCGAAGAGAGGTGGACCTCCTTCTTTAGATAGAAAGAAGCTAGAACACCCTGCTGAGCGGGCCAAATCGGGTCAGAAGGACCCACATTCGTTGTTTAGTGTTCAAGTTGTTCAAGTTTTTCGAGTTAATGTTGTTCGTTGTTGCCATAGAGATAAATACCTTTATTCTAACCGTGTCCTTATTGATCGATCCGGTTCAAACCGTCAATACCACTAGACAACCCCCCGTTACATGGGGGCCGAGCCAGCCGGATGTGATCGATTGACAAATCATACACGGTTGGATTATTGATATTGATCATCAGAGAAGTGAGGCGGCAAAGAACACACACACAACGGCCTAAGAGGGCGAGGAAAAGAGAAGAATAAGATAGAATATCTCTATCTCTTCGCATAGAGCACTTATCATAGAGCTCGTATTGATTGATTATCGTCGCATCGTCTCGTTATCGACCGATTTCGCGTATTTGCCGCGTGTATTGAGTGATTGCAAGCAAATAACTAGTGTGTTTTCAGATAGTATACAATAGTATACAATAGTAGCGGTAGAAATGGAGCCGATGGATGGCCAAGCTGAAGAAAATCAGGTAAGAAACACAGTCAAAATAGACATAGAGAAGAAGTTAGGGTTCATTAGAAGGGAGTTAGGGCTGCTACCAGGGGTAGTAAGCAGGCACCTAGATGAGAGTAGGGCCGCACTAAAGTACAAGGCACCCCTAGAGGAGGAAGTAAATATAAGGGTGAATGCAATGCTAAACTGTCTGGGGAGTTTAGCAGCACAAATCGAAGAGGGCTTTGACAAAGGGGTAGAAGCGTACTTAGATAATACAACCCATTTCAGCTAAGGCAATTTCGGCTCAAGAGAGGTCGTCGGAAGAACGAGACGGCATTCAAGAGAATTTGGAAATGC